ATTGGTTTTGTGGGAGCCTAGGCAGTTTGGATGCTCACCTTACTAGACCTGGATGGAGGTGGGTGGTCCTTGGACTTCCCACAGGGCAGGGAACCCTGATTGCTCTTTGGGCTGACGAGGGAGGGGGACTTGATTGGGGGAGGGGGAGGGAAAGGGGAGGCGGCGGTGGGGAAGAGATAGAAATCTTTAATAAAAAAAAATGAAAGCACAACATATCCTAACATATGAGTCCCAATAAACGTGATTCTAAGAGGCCATTTTATACTATTAAGTGCCACTCATTAAAAAACAATAACAAAGCACACAAACAAGACAAAAACAATTAGAGAGATCTCATATTAACAATTTATTGGCACACCTGAAACCTGTCAGGGAACAAAGGAGAAATAACACTCAAAAAGAGTAGATGTCAAGAAATAATAAAATTCAGGGCTGAAGTGAATAAAAGAGAAACAAACAAACAAAAATAATAGAAAGAAGCAATAAAGTAAACAGTTATTTGAGAAAATCAAAATAATTGACAAACTCTTACCAAATTAACTAAAGACAGACAGAAAAGATCCAAATTAATAGCATTCGAGACAAAAGAGAACCCTCACGACAGACACCAAGGATATTTAAAGAATTATAAGGACATACTTTATTACACTCCATCAAACTAGAAAGCCTAAATAAAAGAATAAATTTCTTGATTTATATGAGGTTCCAAAGTTAAATCAAGATCAGATAAGTGATTTAAACAGACCCAAACCTCTAGTTAAAGAAAAACATAAAGTCTCCCAACCAAAAAAGATTATGCCAGATGACTTCAGCTCAGAAGTCTACCACATCTGCTATTTTCCTGCAGCAGTATCTCACTCACCACAGAAACTTCCTCCCTTTGCTGTGCATGAGAACTGACACAGAGACCCACAGCTGGACAACGTGCAGAGGGGAGATTTTGGAATGCTTAGTCATAAATGAGAAGTCTTCATCAAATCCCTCCCATCGGTGCACAGGGCACCCGGGAAAAGAGAGGTGGAAAGAGCCTAAGAGCCATAAGAGGGGTGGAAGACAACAGAACTTGTTTATGTATGAACTCATGGAGACTGTGGCAGCTTGTGCAGGACTACACAGGTTCTAGCCAGATGTGGCTCCAGTGCTGAAGGGAGGATGTGGACAGAGGCTCCCATACCTAACCAAGAAGGCATCTCCAATGGACATGTGCTTGCAAAGGAAAAGTTAGTTTTCTTCAATGGAGTCTCACTGGATATACAAACCACATTTCCCTGATAGCTAAGGATGAAGAACATGTCCTTAAGTATTTTTTGACCATTTGAAATTCTTCTGGTGAAAATTCTTTGTTTAGTTTAGTACACCACTTTCTAATTGGGTTATTTAGAAATTTAATGTCTAATTTCTTGAGTTCTTTATATATTTTGGAGATCAGTCCTTTGTCTGATGTGGGGTTGGTGAAGATTTTTTCCCATTCAGTAGGCTGCCTTTTTGTCTTATTGACTGTGTCTTTTGCTTTACAGAAGCTTCTCAGTTTCAGGAGGTCCCATTTATTTATTGATGCTCTTATTGTCTGTGCTACTGGGGCTATATTTAGGAAGTGGTCTCCTGTGCCCATGCATTTAAGGTTACTTCCTACTTTCTCCTCTATCAGGTTCAGTGTGGTCAGATTTATATTAAGGTTTTTGGTCCATTTGGACATGAGTTTTGTGCATGGTGATAGATTATGGATCTATTTTCATTCTTCTACAGGGTGACATCCAGTTATGCCAGCACCATTTGTTGAAGATGCTTTTTTCCCATTGTATCTCTTTTGCTTCTTTGTCAAAAATCAGGTTTTCATAGGTGTGTGGATTAATATTTGGGTCTTCAATTCAATTCCATTGATCATCATCTCTGGTTTTAAACCAATACCAAGCTGTTTTCCTTACTGTAGCTCTGTAATAGAGCTTGAAGTCAGGGATGGTAATGCCCCCATCAGTTCCTTTAATGTACAGGATTATTTTGGCTATCCTGGGTTTCTTGTTTTTCCATATCACCATAGAACCTTCGTACAACAACAGATGGGGAACAGAGGCAATGATCCACATCAGAGCACTGGACTTAACTCCCAAGATCCAGTTGAAGAGTGGAAGGCATGAGAGTATGAGCAAGGAATTCAAGACCATAAAGGGGTCATCCACTGAGACAGTTTGCTTGAGCTAATGGTAGCTCACCAACTCCAACTGGACTGGGAGTGAACGAGGAAGGAGAACAACCAAGACCCTCTGAAGGGAGTTGACAGCTGGGGCAGGCTGAGGGGCCACTGATAGTGGCACTGGGATGTGTCTCTACTTGCATATACCAGCTTCATGAGATCCTATTCTCTTTGGATGTAAACCTTGCTCAACCAAGATGTAGTAGGGAGGGCCTTGGACTTTCCACAGGGCGGGGTGCATGGCACTCCCTTAGGGTTGGAGGGATGGGGGAGGGTCTGTGGAGGGAGAGGGAGGGGACTGGGAAGAGGGGAAGGAGTGGGGATTGGGATTGGTATTTTTTAAGTAATAAAAAAGGAAAAAAACAAAACAAAAAAACAAACTACAGTCAAAGATATGTCCCATTCCCATCAATAGATGGCCAACACAAGTAATTCAATGGTATTTTTGTAGAAATTTTGTCTCATATTGCTTTGTTTGTACCTTTTTTTGTACATATTAGTGGTCTTTTGCTTGCATATTATAATTTGTGTTTTTACAGATTTTGTTTTAATATGTTCTGGAAAACCCCACCCTCCCCAAGGCCACCTTCAGTAACTGTGGTCACGTATTCTCCCTATGCACATGCACTATACCTTTAAAAAGAGCCAGGACCTTTACAGCCTGCCCTCTTTTCCCTTCCACCCTTGGTGAGAGGCAGCCTCTGTTAACCCTGTCCCGGCCACAGTAAATCTCTCTTGTGTGAGACCTGTTGCATGGTGTGACTTAGTGGCATTCCCTGCCTCTAATATATCCAGGTACTGTTCCTTCCTCCTCAGAACCCTAAAAATATGTCTCTGCATGTGTGGCTTTTCTTTTTCTCTTTTAATTGGTTTTTGGTTGTTCGATTTCTCCCATTTGTGTGCTAAAGAGAGAGATAAAAGAAAAAGTAGGTGAGGTGTTAGTTGTGTGAGGAGATAGGGAAAATCTAGAAGAGAGTGGGAGGGGACTGAAACCTTAATTAAAATATAGTGTATAACTTTTTCCGGTTAAAATAAAGTGGAAAATATTTTAGCCACACCAATATGTGTTACCTTCATTCTCAAAATAAAGAAGTATTTTTCCTATAAGTCAAACCCTCCATCCTATGGCTCTTAGTTCCCTTTGTATATGGAATACAAGGAGAATAATCATAATTTCTCCACCTTGTTCTCTGTACTCTGACTCAGACTTTGCTGGGGCCCTGTAGGTTTGGGTGCAGGCTGCAGGTGCCTGGGGAGCACTGTGTGCTCACTGCACAGAGGTAGACAGCTGAGTCACTGAGTTGGGAGTCTCTGATGTGCAGGGAAACATGCAGGCTCTCTTGATTGAGGTGAACTGTGAATCTGCCTTCTTTCTTTTTACCATTGGAGAATATGGACATCAGAAACATGGGGCCTTTCCCGGGATACTGCTTGTACCACCAGAAGTAATTATAATTACGATCGTTGGAAGTGCAGTTGAGAGAGGCCGTGGCTCCCTCTGTGACACTGAGGAATTCTGGATTCTGCTGCACCTTCTCCTGGCTACTCACCCCTGTGCAAAAATACAAAGGTTAGACAAACAGGACTGGATGCTAACACCTCAGAATGGCTTTTCCATGGGCCTCCCATCTGCTTTTGTTTTAGCATGAGAATATTCATTTCTATCCTCCCTCCTAAAACATGTGAAGGATATAGCCACACATATTGTATTTTTATGTTCCCATAGGAATGGTCAAACTCACCACTCAGTTGAAGACAGAGCACCACTAGCAAAACACTTAAGGGATGCATCATTGTTTTCACTGAAGGTTCACACTTCAACAGCAACAAAAAGACTGTCACTTAGGGAGTTCAACTTCTTCTGCTGTGAGATTTATAAAAAAAGAAAAACCCCAAACTGTTCATCCAATTAGGAAGAAGGTGCTAGTTTTCACTGCTACCTCAGAATCTCTCCTCCTCTCTCTAGCCACCCCCACAACACACAGACACACAGGACTATGGGAGAAATTGTATCTAGGTCTCTGAGAAGATGCTGCCATCTGGTGGACCCACCTCAGAGTCAAAAAATATTTTAAGTGCAGACTTTTTTTTTTATTTTTATTAAAAATTTCCACCTCCTCCCCTCCTCCCATATCCCTCCCCCTCCCTCTCCAGTCCAAAGAGCAGACTCTTCTTATGTGAACTATTAAAACAAGCAATAGTTTAGTCAGGTGAGAAGTTTGTGACATTTGCTGAAGTTTATGTATGTGTGTGCTTATGTAAACATTTTCACCAAATGGCAACTTGTTTTCAGCAAATGAAAGTTATTTCACTAGTCACTTTCTGTAACATTTCTGAAGAACCACTCAATCAAAAATAATTTATGATCTTTATCTCTTCTCTGTGTAGCCACTTACACCCTTATATTGTTCCTTCATCATCAATTTTTAAAGAAATTTTCTATAATTAAAAAGAGCTCTTTAAAATAGTATTAAATATGATGTAACATATATGGCTCCAGCTCACAGTCAAACTATGTTGTAGGAGCATGGGGTCTCTTTATTCTGTCTTGCCCGGCTAGCTTACTCCCAAAATAACCACACAGAAATTGTATTAATTAAATTACTGCCTGGCCCATTAGCTCTAGCATCTTATTGCCTAACTCTCACATCTTGATTAACCCATTTCTATTAAATCTAAATGACTGTGGCTTACTGTCAAGATTCTAACCTATGTCCATCTCAGGCCAGAGATGGACATAGAGATGGTGTCTGCCTGTCTGTCCTTCCCAGCATCCAGTTCTATCTATTCTGCCTACCTAAATGCTTCCCTATCAAAAGGCCAAGGCAGTCTCTTTATTCAACCAATGAAAGCAACACATAAACAGAAGAATCTCCTACAGCATCTATTTATTCATTCATTTATTTTTGTACATGTTATGTGTATTTGTGTGTGTGTGTGTGCGTGTGAACACATCAGTGTGGGTGTGTGTACATATGTACAGGTCAGAGGTCAACATTAGTTGTTATCTTTGATTACTTTCCATGTTATTTTATTACTTAATATGAATTTTATAAACCCTGTTTCATCAATTAGAATAAATTGTCCTAGATTTGACTATCATGATATGTTGATATGCTATTTCAAAAAGCCCTTCTCTTCTTCTCTGCCCACCCTCTCTCACACAGAGACACAAAGGAACACATGAGAAATTGCTCCTGGGTCTCTCACTGAATGATACTCATCATCCCAGTTTGCCTTGTCAGTGAACTCCATGCACTGGACTGGCAATGTCCTCACCAGTGCTAGGGCTGCAGATGTGGGTGCAGTACTGGATAGGACATGTGTTCTGGGGATATGGACACAGTTCTTCATGCTGGTGAGAAGGGTACTTCACTGATTGAGTCATCTCTCCAGTACCTATTTATTTTTGTTAGTAGGACTAATTATGTAAAATATTATTTATTATAACACATTAATACACAAATACCAGATATGTACTCATATTCACTCTCCATTTCATTCTTTTGTACTTGCTGATGAACATCCATCTTCAGCCTATAGGCCCATAGTATCCAGCATACTCTTTCATTAATCAAGATCAGAAATACATATACATATAACAAAATTGACCTTAAATTTATATCACTAAAGCAAAATCCATATCAATGCAAATTATTCATATCTAGATCATATCCTCCTTTAAATGTAAAAGAACATTTATAAACAATATTTGGGAATAGGGGTGCAGTTTTTTATCTCCAAACTGTTTCGTGCTGTATGGGGTGCCGTTATTCAGGTCTTTCAAGGTATAGCCTGTGTGCTAGGTTCATATCAGTCAGCAGTTGGGTGAAGTAATTTTCTGAAAGTGGTCACATCAACTTTTCAGAAGGGCATTATCTATCATACCATATTGGTTTAGAAGCAATCCACAGGTTCTCAACTTCTGTGAAAACATAGCATCTGCCACACTTCCTTTCTTCCCAGCACTCTTTTCTGTCTACTCCGTTCACTTAAGGGCTGCCCTATAAAAAGGCCAAGGCAGCTTCTTTACTCAACTGATGGAGGAGGGTCTTCTGTCTATGTGTTAATTTCATTGGTTAATAAAGAAACCGCCTTGGCCTTTGATAGGATAGAAAATTAGGTAGGCAGAGTAAACAGAACAGAATGCTGGGAGAAAGAAGCAGATTCAGGCAGTTACCATAGTTCTCCTCTCTGAGATGGAAGCAGGCTAGAATCCTTCCTGATAAGCCATGACCTCGTGGTGCTACACACATTAATAGAAATGGGTTAAGCAAGATGTGAGAGTTAGACAGTAAGAGGCTGGAGCTAATGGGCCAAGCAGTGTTTAAAAGAATACAGTTTGTGTGTTGTTATTTCGAGTGTAAAGCTAGCCGTGTGGGAGCTGAGCGGGAAGGGACCCGCAGCTCCATTTAACACTCAACCAATGAAAGCAACACAAATAGAGAAGAACCTCCTACACCACAACATCATTGACTTTTGTTTTCTTGATGATACCCATTATTTTGGGGGTAAGATGGAACCTTAGCATAGATTCCATTTTATATATTTTGTTAAAGAAAGGTCAGCTCTTTCTTTAGTAAGGTGGTACTAGAAGTTCTAGGAAGAGCAGTAGCAAACATCCATAACAGGGATGCTGGTGACCATCTAGGGTAGTACTGTGCTCCATCCCTGAGACAGACAAAGAATACAGCATCCTAGAAAGACAAAAGATAGAGCTGTGGATAAAGCAGAAGTAAAAGTTTTATCTCCTGAAATGGGAAGTTTTCTTTATGGGAGGAGGTTGCAAGGGTGGGAAGGTAGACTTCTAAGGAATGGGAATCAGGTGTGATTGGGTGCATTGTATGGGGGGAAAAGAGAAAAAAAGTACGCACATTAGAACACCATTTGGGTATAGAAAAAAATGAAATGCTGTCATTTAGTTGTGTGTGTGTGTGTGTGTGTGTTATTGCATTGTGGTCAGATAGAGTTTGTGGTCAGGAGTGTTTTAAAATTTTTTTTAATTTGTAATTTTTTTTATGTCTCAGGATGTGGTTCATTCTATAAAATCTTCCCCATGCTGCTGAGTAGAATGTGCATTCTTTGGCATTTGGATAAAGTATTTTATAAGGATCTGTTCAGTCTACTTGCTGGAGGATTTTAATTTATTCTGATGGTTTCTCTTTTGATATTTTGTCCAGGTTATCTTTTTACCTGAGAAAATGGAGTATTGAAATTGCTAACTATTAATAGATTGATATTAATTTGTGTCTTTAAATGTGACCTATGTTTTTTTTTCTTGTTCAGTTTTCATTATACTTTCTTTTCTATGTATACTTAAGTTTTAGCTATTATATGCAGTGTGGCATTTGTCTTTTGGTCTTGTCTGTTTTGTGTTCTGAGAACTTTTATATGAATCTTTAGAAGTTTTTTCCCCATTTCTGTGAAGAATGCTGTGGGGTTTTGATTCTGGATTACTGAATTTTTAAATCACTTTTAGTAGAGTGGTCATTTCCACAGCATTGATTCTACAAATTCATGAGCATGAGAGGATTTTCCATTTTCTAACATCTTCCTCAGCCTGTTTCTTCAGAAATTTAAATTTTTTTCTTATAAAAGTATTTAATTTCCTTGGTTAGGTTTATTTCTAGATATTTTAGTATTTAAAGCTGTACTGAATGGATGTTTGTGGATGATCTTTCTCATCATGTTTGTTGGTAATGTATAGAAAGATTCTTGATGTTTGTAAGTGTCTTTGGAATTTAATATGTAGCTGAAATCATTGATAATTTTAGGAAATTTCAGGTACAGGTTTGGGGATCTTTTACATTAAATGTCACATCACCTGATAATAATTTGATTTAGTTTTTCCTGTTTATATCCCTTTGATATCATCTCTTATCTTGTTGTTCAAATCTCATGATAACCCACTGTCTAGGAAAAGAATTTCAACAATTAAAAGCTAGAGGAAGAATTATTCATCCCTGAGGATAATATTGGATATCCAATATCAAGTGATCAGCCCTAAAATTAT